CATCGACCCATGAATCAGGAGGTCGCGGTTCCATTCCCCGACAGGGCACATGCCTGGGTTGCGGGCTCAGTCCCCAGTGTGGGGATCATTTATGTTTCTATCACTCTCACTCTCCCTTCCTCTCTGAAATCAATAAAAATATATTTTTAAAAATAATAATTCAGTGTGGTTCTAACTCTCTAAGTGATTTAACATTCCGCCGGGAAGCGGGGAGCGTAGAATGCCGATGAGATGGCACAGGCACTGTCTGAGCGGCAGGACGCGGTGGCGTCTCGTGCCTGCGCCTCCCGACACACCCAGCCCGCAGCTCCGCCGCAGGGAAGCTCACTCACCGTCGATGATCATGTACAGGAAAAATATGGGGAATTCACATTCGATGCCGTCGAACAGCTAGAACAGAAAATAAAACATGGAAATGTCATGAACAATTAGCTGGGACAGTCACAGTGTCAGGGCAACGTATCAATCACAATTACAGTGGGATATGCAAAAGGAGTGGCTTATTGTATAACAAAACGGGGCTGATTTGAGCAGCAGGTTCGTTGTTGTTTTTTAAATTCTCTGAACTCATTCAAGAGCTCATGTGCTTCATCATCGCGCAGCGCGCCTTCGCTCCATCAATGTTCATGGGACTTAGCACCGCCCGTGCCCGGCATCAGCGGGATGAGGGCTGAGAACACAGACGCGCTCCCTCGAGGGCCCAGCCCACAGGAAGGCGCCGAGGAGGCAGCGCCTGCCGCCCTCTGAGACGTCCGTCCACGTGTGTCAGGAACAGGGACGAACCCCGAGTCTGCCAGGGTCAGGAGGGCTTGGAGAAAGGGGGTTCACATGATGCCTGCAGGCCTCCCCCGCGAGGGAGGGGGGGCGCCTCACCACACACCCAGGGATTTAACTTCCTCCTCCACACAGCGGCGCAGAGGACATGCGAGGAGGCTCCTGGTCTCGCCCACTGGTCGCGGCCGAGCTGGACGCAAGCCCAGGCGGCACTTCTGACCCGCCGGCACCGGGGGTGGCATTCTCGGGTACCTTAATCTCAGCCGGTTTGTAGTAGCGTCTGTGGGGGTCCTCCAGGGACGTCCTATACCCGTCTCTCAGGAAACGCTTGAAGCCGTATTTCCCTTTCAGCTTCCGGACCACCTTGTCGAGTGTCTGGCCGAACAGAGCTTCGTCATCCAGCGCGAAGGCAGGGTAGCTGATGCAGGGGAGCAGGGCGGCGTCCGTGTTCTGGGGACGAGAAGAGGAGGCGGTGGACCTACAGCGACATGGCCGACAGCCCGAGGAAACCCAGGGAGTCGGGAGTCGGCAGGGACCCGGCGCCAATGAGGCGCGCCCCAGGGACAGGGGTGACCACGCGGCCTGGGGCAGTGGGCCTCAGAGGAGACCATCTTATCCATGAGTAAGTCTTCTCAAGGCTCAACACTGACCTCGGGCTTGAGATCTTCATTAAGGCAGTGTGTGAAATTTCACACTGATAATTAATTAGTCCTTACAACTTAGTTTGTCATAACAACTTGTTTATAATCGCGAAAAACAGAACAATCTAACTGTCCAACAACTAGGACAGTATACTAGCAGCCATTAAAATGTATACTGTGGACACCATTTTTTTTAATATGGAAGCATGTCCGTTCATAGAACTCCGTTACGGAGCATTATTAAGAATATCTTCCAGTTTTGTAAAGTGAAAACATTGTATATGTGCATCAACCATGCGGAAACCCACAAACATGAGTGTGCCGCCTGTGATGAAAGTCTGGGGGTGCAGGAATGAGATGATATTATTTGTCTTTGTGGGTTTTACTTTTCTCTTATCAAAATCTTGTGCTACTTCTTCTATACAATAGTTGTTTATAAATAATTAAATACTCTCACTTGGGGTGTTTTCTAAAAAACAGAGCCACAAGCAACTGCCAGAAAGCTCTGAGAAAGTCTCCTCCCGGCATATGAAAGTCACCCAGAGGTGACGTCACAAATGGCGTCTAATTCACGGTAAAGGTGCTCACGTGAGATCGAGATTCCCGGGGCAGCAGGGAGCACAGAGTCTGCCTGTTGCGATTATGAGCATCGAGATCCACAAATATGACTGACCACGAGCAGCCCTGGAACGAGAGAGACGGGGCTTGTACAGAGCTGGGCATCTGAACTGTGAAGAAACTTCACCCAAAAACAACACTGGGTCATGTGAGAGCGGCTCTATTACAGGAGATTTTAATTTTCTTTTCAGTGCAGTCAGGTCTTCTCAAATATCCTGCAATACACATGTTAACTTTGTAATCATAACAAATGTTATTTTCCTATTTCCCTATTTCTCCAACATTTTCTTATAAATCAAAATATATTGATAACTAATCAATTAAAGATATTCAGTCTAATAAAATGCCAATATTAGTTAGCCTGTGGATAGAGAAAACAGTAAGACTTACCATGTATGCTTAGGCTGCTAATTAGGGAAGTTAACTGCATGCCACATCATGCAAGTCTGCCCTGAGTTGAAATTTTAAAGGCACAATCTAAGGAGGCTAATTTATAAGGAATGAAGCGAAATGGTAGCTTTGGCAATTCTTGCTCAATTTGATTAATTTGATTTGATTTGATTAATATAAACAGTCACCTGCTATTTTCTGCCAAAAAACAAATGGCCTCCTTGTCCAGGCCTCCCCCTCTCCCAGCCTCCAAGGAAGGTGTGCAGGGGGACAGGCTCCGCTCTCACCGCATTTCTCACCGGGGCAGAGGCCAGTCAGCGACATGGTTTGCTGTCCTCTTACAAACGGACCAGCCTGCCCTGCCTGCTGAGGCTCGGTTGGCTGGGCATCGTTCTGAGCACCAAAAAGTTGCCGGTTCGGTTGCCGGTTCGATTCCCGATCAGGGCACAGGCCTGGGTTGCGAGCTCCATCCCCAGTAGGGGGCGTGCAGGAGGCAGCCAATCAATGTTTCATTCTCACATGGATGTTTCTTGCTCTTTCGCCCTCTCCCTTTCTCTCTCAAAATCAATTTAAAAATCTTAAAAAAACAAAAACAAACCCAGGCCATGCTTTAGGCATATGGTCCAGATTTACAGGAGGATAAAAATCACCCAGGGCCATAGGCAGCTATTCGTATTCAGAAGCGATTTTTCAAAAACGTCCTTAAGGAGGACGTACAGATGGATTAATTATCACCTGCTGTAGAGGATCAGACACATTCGTTTCAGGCGGCAGCGTTCAAAGGGAGGGAGGCGGAATGCCTTGCTCTGAACGCTCTGCAGAACCTGAGCAATCTCTCCTCACGTTCAGACGGGGCCTCGGCGAGGTCCATGGTGACTTCTCCCGTGAAGACAGGAGAAGGGAGAATGTTCTCTGAGGACGTGCCAGCCAGCGCGTCTGTGCGCCCTGGGCAGTTTTCCATCTCCCACCTCCTCAGTCATCACAACTCTGCCCGGCACCTGCCTCCCCCTCGCGAGCGTATTGGAAGACCCACAGCGAGACTTGCCCACGCGGAGGTTCCCTGACGGTGCTCCAGGGAACGCACCGCGTCCCCTCCCCGGACTCCTGTGTCCTTACCGGGAGTTTCTGCCTGTGACCCTCTGCACCGGTTTTGCCCTCCCCCACCTCTGGCAACACCAATCAGTTCCCCGTACCTACGACCTTGTGCTGTTGTTTATTTACCTTCCACACATCAGTGAGATCATACAGTATTTGTCTTTTTTCTCTGATTCATTTACCATAATTCCCTCAGGTATACCCATGCTGATGGAGATGTCCAGACTTTATTCCCAATGGCTGACTCCTATTCTATCGTGCACGCGCACACCCATTCATCCGCCAGTGCCCCCGGCTGCTCCCATCTTTCTTGGCTGTTGTAACAAGGCTCCATGCCATTATTTATACCATACTACCCTCCTATTTCTCTGTCACATGCTCGCACACACACACACTCGCACGCACGCACGGTTAAATGACGTGTGGAGAGGGAGGGTGAAAAGGAAATAAAACGACTGAAAGCTGTGTGAGTGCTGGGCTCCTCGGGAGGAGAGGAGTGTGGGTAGAGGCCAAGGACCCGGTCGGAGGCCCCAAAGCCCCGGGCATCCCCGGGAGAGGCGCAGCATTAATGCTCGTGATTTTCCACGGGCTCTCACACCCACATCCCAAGAGAGAGGCCGAGTGTGGGCCGTGGGTGACGTAGGGCTGCCATGAGCGCGCCCAGAATGCATGCTGCGCCCCTTTTCCCAGTCCCTTCCTGTCGGCCTCACTCTTCATCCTTCCCGTCCCGGGTGTGACGGGAGTCCATCCCCCAGAGGAGGTGGGAGGGAGGGAAGAGGTGTCCGTGGGGAGGGGGAGACCGCTGGGTACCACTAGGAACTGTCTTACACTCACCGCTTGGGGTCCCTAGTATTGTCATCGCCCCGACAGAAACAGCCACATTTTACACCTCCGTTAACTCCCTCCAGGGCATCTGTACTGACCTAGCATTTTAATAGCTTGGGGTTCACTGTAATATCGGCCGGAGCCTCCTCTGCCCGTCCAGCTTAGGAGTCTTTACGAACATTGCTAAAGAACACGAGCGACTTCTTGACCCAGAGGAGGGTGCGGTATTCTTACATTTCATTCCTTTCCATCAACAGCTCGATCCAGGCTACTTGATTACGTGCGGGGACCGGTTAATGACCTTCTGAACATGTAAGGCAACCCTCAGGGTTTTCTCTCTTATCCCAAAGAAAATGAGACCTAGACATATTCACAGCCAGGTGAGGGTTAAGCTAGGACCCAAACTTGCAACTCTGTGGCTGTAGATGTTACACGTCCCCCTCCCCAGAGCTGTACGTTGATGTACATCACATAGAAACCCATGTGAGAACTGACATGGGAAATACACGGCATATAAGGCCAGAAATGTCTTAACTGTGAAAGCTCATCAGCAGATTTGAGGGGAAAGTTACTGAACAAAGACGATGAGAATTCTGCCGGGCCGGATTCCCAGTCAGGTGCATGCAGGAGGCAACCGACTGATGTTTCTCTCAAATCCATGTTTCTCTCGCTCCCTCTCCCTCTCTCCCTTCCTCTCTCGCTCAAATCAATAAAAAATATTTTTTTAAAAAGATAACGAGAATCCTTTACTAAAAGATTTTTAAAATGAAGCAATGCTCTTTAGTTAGGAAACTAAAATTGAACTGGCAAGTCCCAGGGCAGCCTGTTCGACCGCGCGACACAGATTTCAGACATTCTGCGATACTGAGTAATGACTTGGCTAATGAGTGGCCAAATTAATTAAACAGGTAATTAAAAAAGTAATCAAAGTTTGCTGCTGCTGCTATGTTTTTTTACCTGATTGCCAAAGAGGTTGAATCCATTAATTGCTTCTAGAGCCGCTTTTGCTAAGCCCACCGAGCTGAAAGGGAAAAGGAACACGTTGTAACTCTGGCACATCTGGCCACAAAATGAGCACCACCGTCTGATGAATATTCACAAGCCAGTGTCTCCATTAACACTTATAACAACTTCCGGGAGAAGAAGGATGTCTGGGAGGCCTCGGAATGACGTGTGTGTGTGTGTGTGTGTGTGTGTGTGTGTGTGTGTGATATTAGTGTTTCTATTCAATCGTGAGTGACCTCTGGGGGGAATGTTTCTAAGATCCCCTCGGCCTGGACAAATGGCCATAGGACGGGTGGGAGCAGCATTAACTCGGCAGCACGGACAGCCCCGGCGCAGGAGGGAAAGGGCGAGCGCGGAGGAGGCTGCTGGGATGAGCGGTGGTGTCACCACCAGGCTGGGCACCGTCAGTTCAGACCAACGCAAAAGGGCTGTGCTGACGTCAATCGAGCCTGAAAAGGACCTCGCGTCAGACACGACCAGAGCGTGGTGAGCTGCACCCAGCCGAGCATCGTGCTCGGGGACCGGTAAACAGGCAGCGCTTTCTGTCCCCAGACGGCTGGTCAGCAGGCCTCTCATCTGCCGCTACGTCCTTCTCTTTGTGACACAGTGTGTACTCCTCTGCCGCGCACAATTGTGCTCAAAAATGGGGAGACCCAAGTGCCATTAAAAATAGGACACTGTTGTCTTATAAATAGCAACCTTTAAGCATTTAGACCTCCTATCCCGTTTATTCTCCTTACTGCAACTGTTTTCTGAAAGCAACTGCATACGCCGGGAACACTGAACAAAATTAATGATCTGTCATGGTTTCAGCACGTCTCCCAGGCAGTTAACAAAGCGGGGCCGGAGCAGCAGCCGGGCCCGGAGCCTGGCAGCAAAGCCAGTCCTCCCTCCTCCCACTCTCCCTCTCCCTTTCCCCCTCCCTCTTCCCTCCCCTCCCTCCTCCCACTCTCCCTCTCCCCCCTACCCCTCCTCCCTCCCCTCCCGCCTCCCTCCTCCCTGGGAGAGGCCATGCCCAGGGCAGAAAGCCCTGCAGGTGCTGGAGCGCGTTCTGAGCGATCCGTGTAGCTGTGACCCACGTTTTCCATGGCGTGTTTATGTGACATCTCTCTCAGGTGAGCGTTATTTGTATCACAGGATGGTGAATAGATGGGAAACTTAAACTACGTGGACGGGAAGTGGCGCACACAACCTTCTCTATGCCTCTCACGAAGTGCAAGTAAAAATCCCGGGCGTTACAGGCAAGGAGACAAAGTCCCGGGAAGATGGAAGGTGGGCTGCCTCACATATTCCAGACTGGAGGTGAAGCAGCACTAACGGGGAAATGCCAGTAGGTGCACAAAACAGAAAGGCCCCGCAAAAGCCTGCTCCCCAGCCAAGGGGCCCGGAAAAGGGCAGCCTTGCAAGACAGAAACTCTCAGACAATAGCGTCTCAGAAAACTGTGGCCGAGTCTGCACCAGGGACGGCACCCACCCCGCCTCTCGGCCATGCGGTTCATCCACAACGACAGGTGAGCAGGCAGGAACCGGAGCCGGGGCCCCGATGATCACACACCCAGAACGAGGAGGCAGCGGCTCACTAGCCTCGCAGGCAGCAGGGAGACCGCCAGCAGCCGCACGGGCTCCAGGCTCCGGGCCGAGCACCAGGGGAGCCCCGGGTGTGTGGTCTGGGGCTCGTGCGGAGACATCCACCGCCAGCTCCTGTGCTGGCCTAGCACCTCATCACAGACCGACCGCTACTCTGGATTCGAAAGGTCTGGACCTGCCGGTTAGGGTGAAGCTCGGCCCTGTGGGCAGGGGGTGGGGGACTCCACGCAGCGCATGCACACTGGGGTTGGGCAGTTCCCTGGACTTGACTTTCAAAGAGCATCGCTGCCCTGCCGAGAGGAGGGCAGGCCCGGGCCAGCTCCGACCTGAGCCGGGGGCCAGCCAGCTCCTCCCGCAGCTGCTGGGACAGGGGAGCCGACTCTTTGACTTTAATTGTAAGTGAATTTCATCTGCATCACATAGAGGAAGGAAGCAGGTGAACATTAACACAGAAGCCACAGTTCCCATCTAATACTCTGATTTTGATTCATATTCCAACTCACACATTTAAATGAATAAAAACCACTCAGAAATCGGCAAGTTACCTCGAATGCAGCTCTGTGCTGCCGTTGTTGTATTTGCTTCCTCTTTCCCAGACACCGAAGTCAGGCACCCGGTAAACTCTCTCTACACAAAACACCAGGTTCTGAATGAAAGAGACCTGGAAGAAAAGAAGCGAAACGTGAGGACACGGGCCACAGCAGACGCTCAGATCCTGACGGAACAGTGACGCCCCGTCTGAAACCAGCCCTCTGACGAGCTGAGATTCCCGTGCCGCTTACAGCGCTGTGACACTGTGGTCCGTCCGCCTGCTACTCTCACCTCAGGCCTAAAGTGAGGCACTAACATCACACCACACGGAAGAAGAGCCGACATGTAAGTGCCCCACCACTTTCTTCAGCGATGCGTTACGCCGCTCGCGAGGGCTGCGCATCTCAAGGATGAAGGCAAACAGAAAGCTCTGCTTCTTAGTGGGTAGCAGCTGGAATCGCAAGTGCCCACATGAGATGTTACATATTCTAACACCTCGGCGGTAAGAAGGCATGTCTCAGTTCTGAAACACGCCAGTCCCCCGTGGGGTCGACCTGGAGTCTCACTTCTATTCCTCCGCATTCTAATCCCCCACTTTGCAGAGCCACGGGCACCCCTTCTTATAAACCCAGAGCTGACGGGGGGGTGGTGCAAACAAAAGCCAGGTCACAGGGCTTCCGTGGAAAACTTTCAGACGCCTGAAGTTTACAATCTCAGATAGAACGGTGACAGCAGAGACCATGGTCCGCTCTTATTGAGCTCAAGTTCACTCATGTTCACGCAGGCATTTTCTAGGGGCCCCTGGTCCCGATTGCAGGGTCTTGTTTAGTCATCGCGTCTGGTTCAATGTGCCCAGCTGCACACATCTGCCCCCTTCATCACAGGCCCCCCTGGAGTGGAGATGCTACCGCACCTCCGCCGGCACGCATACAGCGGCAGCCGTTCTCAGAGCAAAGACCGTGTCTTAAAAGGAGCCTCATCCCTGAAAGGCTCTACGCAGCCCATTTGCCGCCGTGCGACCCGGATTCAGCCCCCAGACTCTGCGGTTACCCGGGATTTTAAGTGCACACGTTGAAGGCTTATTGATATTGGCTACATAAAAATTTTATATCGCCAGATAAAACCTACAAGGCCGAGAAAAAGTATAAGAAAACAAGGGGAAAAAATTAAAGAGAAGATACCAAAATTGCTTAAGTATGGATAAGTCATATAAACAGAATGCAAAGCTTAAAGCAATATCGTATTTATAAAATCCGTCAGTTGACAAAATTTAAAATGAGCCACAGCAGATATTGAGAAAGCAAAAAACAAATGCTGAAACTTGAAAATGAAAATAAAATACCGAACGAAACAAAGCCGCCACTGACCAGGCCTGTCACTGCCATGAGTGACACTCACGGGAACCGTGGGCTGCTGCTCACTGTGCAAGGGCCCCGCACTGGTCCCGCCCGGAGCCGCCCCTTCTCCCGGCTTCGGGCGCCTCCCGGGGTGGGGAGCACGGGAAGCTGGGTGGGCGGCTCCGGGCCCTCGTCGCCACAGTCAGTCACGCTTCTCATATTTGTTTATATTTAGGAGGCTGCTTACGACTGGTCTGAGATATGAGTCCCCACCCCTCCGCGACCCAGAATACCTGAATTCCAATATTTCCCAATGTTATTAAAATTGAGGATGATTTAGATGAAACAAAAACATGCAATTCTTTGATGACTCGAACAGAGAAACCTTAGTGGTTATTGGTAATTTCTTCATACCATCCTTTCTCCTTTGCTATTTCTCTTCACTTCTAAATAGAATTGGCTTTCTGTAGAGCTGCATCTGGAAGGACCTAGGAGACTGAACACCACGAGGGGGCAGGACTGCAGGCACCCATGTCCCAGCGTCTCATGTGCCCACTGAGGGTCCTGGCAGTTCGTGTCTGGCCATGTTTTCCCCGCAGGGGTCACGGACGAGGAAGAAGGACCAGTCCACACAGCACGCCTCCTCTTTGGGGATCTCCCACTGCGTGTACGTCTCAATAGTAAGAGCCTGTGCTCCCACTGCGTGTACCGACTCAACAGTAAGATCCTGTGCTCCCACTGCGTGTACCGACTCAACAGTAAGAGCCTGTGCTCCCACTGCGTGTACCGACTCAACAGTAAGAGCCTGTGCTCCCACTGCGTGTACCGACTCAACAGTAAGAGCCTGTGCTCCCACTGCGTGTACCGACTCAACAGTAAGAGCCTGTGCTCCCACTGTGTGTACCATCTCAATAGTAGGAGCCTGTGCTCCCCACTGCGTGTACTGTCTCAATAGTAAGAGCCTCTGCTCCCACTGTATGTACCGTCTCAATAAGAGCCTGTGCTCCCACTGCGTGTACCTTCTCAAGAATAAGAGCCTCGCCCTAGCCGGTTTGGTTCAGTGGATAGAGCGTCTGCTGCGGACTGAAGGGTCCCAGGTTCGATTCCGGCCAAGGGCACATGCCTGGGTTGTGGGCTCGATCCCCAGTGGGGGGCATGCAGGAGGCAGCCGATCAATGATTCTCTCTCATCATTGATGTTTCTCTCTCTCTCCCTCCCTCTCTGAAATCAATAAAGAAAAAAAAATAAAAAAAAATAAGAACCTGTGTCTGGCTGGGCTCAGCTGAAAGTGTGTCACAGGTGTGTGTGTCCAGCATTACTGCCCATGAAAGAAACGCTCCTCAACTCTGGGTGGTCTGGGCGGAAATTCAGTTCAAATTTCCAAGAAGAATAAGAGCATGATATCTGTCTTTTGAAAAACATCCAGAACCCTACTGAGAGGCCCGCAAATGAAAATAATACAATATGATAAAAGTATTTCTCTACTTGGAAAAGGAGGGTCACAAAAAGGAATGATGTAAAAAAACAAATAATAACAGAAAATCTGCAAATGCTATTGTACTTTCTTTGTTACTAAAATATCCTGAAAGCTTCTATTTCAGATCGCCTTAGAGCCTTCACAGGAGTACAATTTCATAACTTGCTACATGTTTGTTCATTTTCAAAGTGCTGAGCATTGAAAATGTAAACACTTTGATTCAATATCCCAAATCCAGTCTCTGATTATATGAAATGAAGAACAATCCATTTTTTATTAAACAAAAACTGAGTTTTAAAAAGTAAGATAAGAGAGATCCTTGGAGATGAAATTCAGTGCTAAAGAACTGAGGAGCTCGGCCGGTGTGGCTCAGAGGTTGAGCGTCAACCTATGAACCAGGAGGTCACGGTTCGATTCCCCGTCAGGGCACAGGCCCGGGTTGCGGGCTCCATCCCCAGTGGGGGGCCTGCAGGAGGCAGCCGGTCCATGATTCTCTCTCATCATGGATGTTTCTCTCTCTCCCTCCCTCTCCCTCCCTCTCTGACATCAATACAATCATTTTTTTAAAGAGCAGGAGGAGCGCGTACCTCGTCGGTGTTGTAGATGATCTGCAGCCCCGAGGAAATCATCTCCACCAGGTAGAGGAGGTAGAGGGACACCGCGTTGATCTGAAAACAAGCAGCACCGGGAAGGGTTACAGGGAGCAACAGAAACGCTGTCATCAGATTCCATGTAAAATGAGACGACCAGCCCTCCGCTCTCGCTGGGGCCGAACACTGTCTCCTCCCCATCGTGACATGACGGAGCTGCGGCTCTAGCTCCTGGTGAAACCCCAGCTTCCGGAGGAAACCCACCCCCTCAAGTCCTCGGGCGGTCCGCCTGGAGAGGGAACGGCCGCCGGAGGACGCGGAGAGGTGTTTCTACAGCAGTTGTTTTCAAAGACTCACTTTCAGACTTGGGGCTACGCACGCCTGCGGGGGCACCGTTTTGCCCCAAAGGCACTTTGTCATGTCAACCATCTCACACGCACGCACGTCCGTGGGCTGGGGCTCTGCCGGCCGCCGTAAACACTACGCAGCTAAAGCGCCTCCTTTGGAGAGCGCGGGACTCGGGGGCAGCGGCAGGCACTGTCCGTTTGACTCAGCGGCATAGCAGAGCCTTTCAAATCCATGTGTGAACAAATGGTTTATAAGCAAACGAGTTTCCTTCTTTTAGGTTATTGGTCTATTAAAGACAGACAAGGGCCTCGTCCAGATGCAGGCGGCCACAGAAAGATACAGGATGCTGGTTTTAAGGAATTTAGATGGACGTGGCTTCTGAGCGGCCTGTCTCAAAGGCTGCATGCACTGCCAGCCCCCAGATATTTATTCCAGCGCTGACACTGGCACGTCAGAAACGGCTTCAGAGAGGTTCTATTCCCACGGACAGCCATTTAGGGCTCCACCTCCAGGAGCCCTCTGCTCCGACTTTCGGGGTGCTTCTGTGAGAAACGATCAGTGAGTGACAACTGCAAAGGGACTGCCAAGTAGCTGGTGACCAGCATTTCTTGAACACCTACTATGTGCCCGGCACTGCGCGTCAATTCTGGGATACAACAATAAATGAGCGGTGAACATCTGAAAACCCTACTTCGAGTAGGAAACATTTGCCAAAGCAAGAGGTGCCTGGAGCCTAATTATGTGAGAGCCCTAAGAGAAGGCTGAGCAACGACATACGCATAGGATCCTGGGTCCCACGTACGCATTGGTCACAAGTAAGTGCTGGAGTCTGTGCTGCACAGAATGGGGACGCCGCGCTGTTTGGAGGAGTCACACTAAGTAAGACGTTACTGATAGTTAGAAAGAGGGGAACTATAAGAAGGTCTTATTTTAGCACCAAATAATGGATAGTAAGTATTCTGCCCTCCAGCTCGAGAAACCGCAAGAGGAGCAGGAAGGAGACGCATTAAGGATAAGTAGCGTGTATGGTATCTGGGTCTCAGGGACAGGCAACAGGAGGTCCAGCTGAGAGCAGCGGGCAATGCTAAAGCAGAACATAAAATCCTGCAGCGTGTTCTTAGCCCCGGCACCGAGGTTAATACATTATAAAGACGAAACTCAGACTCCAGAGCCTCCGGAGTGTCGTTTCAGTGATGTGTTTAGCTGTATGGGAAATGACATATTAAAAATGAACAGTTGTGGAACAGGAACTTCTGTTCTGCCGTGACGGCCCTGTCGATGGTCTTTTATTCCCTGGTTCCTAAGTGTCGAAACTCTTTCAAGTTTGATGACAAGTACAAGCTTTCGTCACAGAAAAAAACTGTAAGATCTGCCCGACCCGTGTGGCTCAGTGCTTGAGCGTCGACCTATGAACCAGGAGGTCACGGTTCCATTCCTGGTCAGGGCACAGGCCCGGGTTGCGGGCTCGATCCCCAGTGGGGGGAGTGGGAGGGCAGGAGGCAGCCAATCCATGAATCTCTCTCATCATGGATGTTTCTGTCTCTCTCCCTCTCCCCTCCTCTCTGAAATCAATATACAAAAATGGCTTTTAAAAAACTGTGTGTTCCTCCTTTAGGTGGTCCTAACATCATAACCTTTCCAGCTGCCCTTTTTGCTTGTGGATTAGATATTCAGCCCCATAACTAACCCCGCCCGGCGGCTCCCAGCCATCCGCGTCACGCTGGTGCCCTTCCACCTTGAACATTCAGGAGTCGCTGTGAAACACTGCGAGGCCTCCAGCCTCCTCTGCGGGGAGGAGGGCAGGCCCGTGTGTCTCCTCACCTGCAGGTGCCCGTACTCCTCGTAGGAGAGGACCTCATCCCCTGTGCGCACGTTGAACACGGAGTGGAGGCAGGTTGTCGGGCGCGGGTCCTGCTTGAACTGCTGGACCTGGAAGCAAAGGTGACAGGTACACAATGCTCGCCGTTCACGCTCACGGTCAAGCTACGCATCCCAAGTTATTCCTCGTGAAAGGTGTGAGTGAGGAAAGTTACCGCTTGTAGGCAGAGGGCGGAACAAGCCAGAGACGTGACTGTTTCTGAAGAAACAAAACAGGCAGAACCCATAACTGCTGACTGGACAGCGTCAACCGGCCGTGGGTCCTGACTGGGATTTCACGGACCCAGCAACTCGGAGGAGCAGGACTGCCGCGTCGTGTCCCACTGACCGCGGGGAGCACTGCCCTGACACGCGGTGACAGCGCTGCGGGCCACGTGCGGAGTCAGTGAGCGCCGAACGGGAATGCTGCTTCCTTCCCCGAGGGCGCGAACGCAGCCCGGCTCCTGTCCGCATGGCTCCTGCCCTCCCACCCGCTCCCCTTTCCAGGAACGCCGTCCACACCTTCCCTTGCTCGCTGGACGTCCACGTTAACGTCTCAGAACACGACGTGAACACTAAATGCCCCAACAGGCCCGCTCCAAGGACAAAGCCCGTCTCCTCGTCTCCATCATATTCAACTTGGCAAACACTGGCTGATGCGGACTGCATGCCAGGTGCGGGCTCGTCCCCGCGAGCACCCGCTGGACAGCAGCGGAGGGTGAATAGGACGGCATATGACTCAGTGGAAAAGCAACGGGATTCTCTCTCTGAAAAGATGTGAGAGAGGCCCGGCCGGTGGCTCAGTAGTTTGAGCGTTGACCTATGAACCAGGAGGTCACAGTTAGATTCCCAGTCAAGGCACATGCCTGGCTGTGGGCTCCATCCCCAGTGTGGGGCGTGCAGGAGGCAGCCGATCATGATTCTCTCTCATCATTGATGCTTCTGTCTCTCCCTCCCTGCTCTTTCCTCTCTGAAATCAATAAGAACATATTTTAAGAATAAACATTACTCAGACCATAACTGCTGGCCGTGGTCGTGGACGACACAGATAGACATCCGTGCGGTCACTCCTTCCACACACCATGATTATCATCGCAAACACTGTCCTGGGAGCTTAGACCAAAACATGGTCAAATTAGAAGAAAAGCCATCCTGCCTACTGGGTAAGGACCTATCGAAGGAGACGGTCTGATCCGTTTAATAAAGTGGTTGCCGCAGCTGCCGGGCAGCGTTTGTCATTTGTCTCCGAGACACACAGCACCCGGCAGAGAATTCACATTCAATCACTGCGTCGGGGGAAAGGCAACTGCTAAACGATTCAAGATGCTCAAATGGAAAATCACGTGCCTCTGCTTTCAGCCCTAAAGCTGCTAGAAGACAAGTAATTTAACATTTCAGACAAAAATAAGGCCCAGACTCTCTCAGCTTTGGAATGCAATGGGGTGAGTTGCATGTGAATCACTGACAAAAAGCTCTCGTGAAAGCAGCCAAAATCAAGGAGACATTAATTTGTGCTTTATGGCATCTGACATCTGGCAAGTAAAAGTGAGGAATGATTAACACAAAATTTGCTCGGCTAAGAAAACCTAGAGCCTTAGCCGGTTTGCTCAGTGGTTAGAGTGTTGGCCCGCGGACCAAAGCATAGATTTGATTCCCGGTCAAGGGCACGTACCTCGGTTGCAGGCTTGATCCCTGGCCCAGGTCAGGGTGCGTGTGGGAGGCAACCAATCGATGTCTCTCACATCGATGTTCTCTCTCTCTCTCTCTCTCTCTTTCTTTCTCTTCCCCCCGCTTCCCTCCCTTCCATTCTCTCAAAAAATCAATGAGGAAATATCCTCAGGTGAAGATTTTTTAAAAATCTAGATTCATGTTTTCTGTCTCTATTTTATTTGGCTTTTCTGAAAATGTGTCCTTGTAAATAAACAGCTTCTCATTTAGGAAAAGGTAACAGTACTGTGTCCTCCGTTCCCAATGTGTAGCCTTAAAACATGCACTCAGGTAGCAAAACCCATCTCTTAAGGCAATCCTGAGAGAATAAGCTTCATGGAACTTTAATGGTTCCTCATGAATTGGAAATTACTTAGTAGCGTTTTAAGCAAACAAATGTTTAAGTCGATAAAGACAGCAGCGTGCACGCCTGGTGCGAGGCAGATCCCGCCCCACCTGCAGACTGAGCGACAGCATCGGAAGGCCTCTCCTTAGCGAGCGGGAGCGGGAGCAGGAGCGGGAGCGGGAGCAGGAGTGGGAGCAGGAGCAGGAGCGAGCCGGTGAGGGGAGGCGTGGACGCCGAGAGGGAACGTGCCCGGCAGCAGGTGAGCCCTGAGACTGCAGGACGGCAATTGCAGGACGGCAATAGCCGGGAGTCAGCTGCTCTCCCTCCTGCAGATCTAGGACCACCCCTCACCCCCTCAAATCCATCCTCAGTTCACAGCCTTTCTCGGGTCATGTTTTTGGAAGTTACGTCGGGAAGCGTGTCTGACAACGAGAGATCAGTGGAAGTAGAAAGCCTTCGACTTCCTACTCATGTTTTCACCTAAGACGACAGAGAAGGCCAGCCGTCCAGGCAAAGCACAGCCACTGAGCACCTCACAGGCTTCCTTCGGCTTTACAGAAAGGCCAAAGGACACACAGTGCACGTTTTCCAAGATGTAGGGCGACATGCCCTACTGCTTCGGCCCAGCCCATGAGGGTAGGTGAGCACCAGGAAGAGGCGGAGGTGAGGGAGGCAGCGGGTGGGGGGAGGGGAGCTGCCCAGGTTCAGGCTCCCTGGGTCAGCCCCGCCCAGTCATCCGGGGGCTACAGTAACGCCCTCCAGCCCTGCTCTGACAGGTGTGGGAGCAGGAAAGATCACAGCAGGAAAATGCTTAGAAGCTTTAAGTCCGGTGCCCTGTGGTCTGCACACACTCCTCATCCAACCCTGTACCCTGTGGTCTGCACAGACTCCTCATCCACCCCTGTGCCCTGTGGTCTGCACAGACTCCCAATCCAGCCCTGTACCCTGTGGTCTGCAGACTCCCAATCCAGCCCTGTACCCTGTGGTCTGCACAGACTCCCAATCCAGCCCTGTACCCTATGGTCTGCACAGACTCCCAATCCAGCCCTGTACCCTGTGGTCTGCAGACTCCCAATCCAGCCCTATACCCTGTGGTCTGCACAGACTCCCAATCCAGCCCTGTACCCTGTGGTCTGCACAGACTCCCAATCCAGCCCTGTACCCTGTGGTCTGCACAGACTCCTAATCCAGCCCTGTACCCTGTGGTCTGCACAGACTCCCAATCCAGCCCTGTACCCTGTGGTCTGCACAGACTCCCAATCCAGCCCTGTACCCTGTGGTCTGCACAGACTCCCAATCCAGCCCTGTACCCTGTGGTCTGCACAGACTCCCAATCCAGCCCTGTACCCTGTGGTCTGCACACACTCCCAATCCAGCCCTGTGCCCTGTGGTCTGCACACACTCCCAATCCCAACATCGTCGCATCGCCTACAGCTCACTGATTTTAATGACCGGCCACGTGCACACAAGGAAAACACGCTTAGCCTCTGTCACTGAGGGCTCAGGGCCGCTGAAGGCACACTCGAGCCGCACTTGAAAGACGCCGTCACTGAGGAGGCCGGGTAGTGAGGGTGAAGAGTGTTTAGGAAGGAAATGAAGAGCTGACTACAGCAAACCACAGAGAACAGCCTCGCTATTACATCCTTTCCCTCGGTCAGCGATGCTCACTGAGATCTACCTGCTCTCAAGGAGGTCTACCTCCTGGGGGAGAAGATGGATTCACAGACCACAGGCGCTCAGGAAACAGTAACTGTCAGGTACACTGTGCACTTCACACACGTGGAAAAAACAACACGCATGGTAATCGCTTCAATTACAGATGACACGCTCTGCGACTCAGCGTGTCAGCTGACAGAGCTGCATTCCAGGCTTGAAAAACCTCATTGATGTTTCTATCTCTCTCCCTGAAATCAATAACATATTTAAAATACATATATATTTTTAAATGCACTTCTAAACCTTTACACTCGTGACCTGCGGAGTCGAGTTTCGGCAGACAAATGACAGGTGTGTCACGTGTCCCTATTACCAGCCTGCGACTAAATCTACTTCTTCTGCGAGGGACATGCTCTTGTTGCCATATTTTGACGGCAGAATATAGGTGATTTTCTTTTTAAGTTTTAACTTCAGATATAGGTCTTAAAAAGAAAAGGTACCATCCCATTTTTCACCATTCCAAGCATAAATTAAAACAATACAATATTCACATGATAAAAACATGCAAAATGCTACATACCCAAGACTGCCCGAGTAATCACTGGTGTGCACCTCTGCAATGAGCCTTCTGCCTGGGCTGGCCTTAGGGACACATGACACACTCACAGATACTTACTATATTAGGACCCGGGACACAGGCATACAGGCAAGTAGGGAAATACCTCATTATATGTGTATGGTGCTTTGCCGTTTACAAAGCTTTATTGTCTATATTATTCCTTTAATTTCCACAATGACCTACACAGTCTGCTATTTTCTTTGTAAAATATATTTTTATTGATTTCAGAGAGGAAGGGAGAGGGAGAAAGAGAGAGAAATATCAATGATGAGACAGAATCATGGATTAGCTGCCTCCTGCACTCCCCCTACTGGAGATGGAGCCCACAACCTGGGCCTGTGCCCTGACTAGGAATTAAAACGTGACCTCCTGGTTCATAGGTCGGCGCTCAACCGCTGAGTCACGCCCGCCGGGCCGGTTGGCTGTTTTCTAAGCCTGTGATTCCTGTCTTCTTTACAGGTAAATAAAGTGTTATATTTTTAAGTGACATTTACTTAAGCCAGAGTATTCACATGTGCAAAGGGAATTTTTAAAAAAAATATGTTTTTATTGATTTCAGATAGAAGAAGGGAGAGGGACAGAGAGTTAGAAACATCGATGATGAGAGAAAATCACTGATCAGCTGCCTCCTGCACACCCCCTACTGGGGATCGAGCCTGCAACCCGGGCATGTGCCCTGAGCGGGAATCGAACCGTGACCTCTTGGTTCCTAGGTCGACACTCAACCACTGAGCCACACTGGCCGGGCCCAAAGGGCATTTTCAGGAGGGTTTTCTCAGGTACTGTAATAGTGGGTAGAATACGGATATTGAGGCTCCCGAGAAACTCCTTATCAAGCAAACACCAGATGCAAAATGCAAACAGACTGAAGCCTGAACAGCCACTCCCGACCACCTGCCGCCAGGGTTTCTTCGAAGGCGGTACTTCGGGCCGCGCTGGGCAGGGAGGGGCCGTGCTGGCCCTCTGAGTGCCTCCCCCTCGGGAGAGGCTGCTGTGGGCTCATCACTCGGGCGGGGGGGGGGGGGCCGAGGCCCCAGCCCGGCCGGCGCCTCACCTTATCGGCCTGCCGCATGTAGCAGTAGAGGATCCCTCGCATGCACTTCACGGCCGAGTGCTCCAGCTCGTGCGTCCGCCCCTTGTCGTCGTCGATGCGCCTGGGCGGGAGAGATAGCTCAGGGAAGAAATCGGAAAGGGATTTGGGAAGGGAGCTGAGCTTCCGATAATTACGTATTTAACTATCTGGCTAATCCCATGTTCTGGCGACGTCTACTAATTCTCTAACAGTGAAGCTCCATTTTCCCGGCAGATGCAGAAATGCTGCCAAAGAAATAGAAAAATCCCAGGATGAAACTTGTGCCGATTTCTCCTTCTTTTAAGGACGGAAGGCAATTGCTCTAAAAATAGCAGACAAGGTTTTCCACACGGAATTGGCTCAAATTTTAAGCGATATTTCTATATTGGAAAAATCTACCAAAAGATATTTTTAAAACTCACTGTTACAGGGTAGAGGCAATTTTTAATATCGATCCTTTTAGGTTAAACAATGGCCACTTGATTTCTGAACCCTCCATACAACTCCATTGATCTCTCTCTCTCTCTCTCTCTCTCTATATATATATATATACACACACACTAGTATATATATGTTTCATGCTAGTACCATACCGTTTTGACTATTATTTTACATTTTGATTTGTATTATAGTATTGACATCAGGGAGCCTGATCCCTCCCTCTTTGAACTTCCTCAAGATTTCTTTAGCTACTTGGGATCTCCTGTAGTTCTGGATGCATCTTAGGATTCGTGCTCCAGTTCTGAGAAGCAGCCGCGGGTCCTCTAACAGGGCTGCATGCGTCTGTATACGGCTGTAGGTGCTAGGACAGCTTAACAATATCAGTCCTTCCAGCCCGTGAACAAGAGGCCGGGGGCTGGGCTGGCACAGGAGCCCTGTGGCCTTGACTTAGCCCTCCACGTACTTGTATCTTCTCCCAGTTCCTTCCTGTGGCAGTTCCTCCTGCCAACACCTAATGCTGATCTGCAGGCCCAGAGGTGAGGAATTACGCTCGTGAAGCATGAAAACCAGGCCCGTGTAAACCCTTAGGCAGACGGGAAGGCGCCGTGAGTCCCCAGCAGAGCCAGGGACAGCTGACCCGGCGTCCTGGGTGCACGCCCCTCCCTAGCGAGGGACAGCGCACACCACTCACCTGTACGCGAGGGCCACGGCCCAGGCGGCCGCGGCGCAGTACAGGCTGTCCTGGACCTTGGCCTGCTGGTCCCCGCCGCAGGTCTTCGTGGGGAAGAGGCCAGTGGTGGGACTCTGGTACAGCAGCACCGTGGCCTTGACTGCGAGGAGGCAGGAGAAGCGTGAGCGGCACAGCCC